ACCACCTCCAGGCCAGAGAGAAAGAGAATACCCGTGGCTTTTGAACGGTCACTAAATGAACTGTTGCAAGTCGAGGACTACCTGTATTCACAGCTGACAGTCATTTTGGGAAGAGAGAAATACCAACGTCTGCGGATCAAAAGCTTGTTTCCTTTGGTGATAATTAGAGCGTCTCTGTGGGTGGTTTGTTTCCTAACTCTGCTCAGCAGGAGTTATGTTGTTCTACATAAACAAATGAAGGCGAAGTGCTGTGTGACCACACAGGTCACTGCCACTTTCTGATTAGGAGAGGCATCAAAATCAGCATTAAACTTGCATTTTTAAAAAAATAAATAAAATTGGCCAGCTGGAGCCAGTCCAAGTTCTCCCCCTTTGCAGATGGAAATCGAATTGCAACAGGGAGTTGGCCAAGAGTTTGTAATTAAAATACAGGTAGTCTTCAACGTTTTCAGTGTTCAACCCACTGCCTATTCTACAGATTTGTTACAGGAAGTCCTTGACCTATGGTGACAATGGAGCCCAACATTTCTGTTGCTAACTGAGACATTTTGTTAAGTGAGTTTTGCCCCATTTTACACGTTTCCTTGCCACAGTTGTTAAGTGAATCAGTGCAGTTGTTAAGTGAGTTATGGAATTCAAGGTGGCTTGGACAAGATCTCTTGTGGGCCCAAAGGCTTTCAAGACAACCACTTTTTTCAGTGCTTTGGGTTGTAAGTGGAGGTCTACATGTTTTAAGTGTCCAACAGGTACTGGGCTCCTAGATAAGGCAAGAATTGGGAATAATTAGTTACCTTGTGGTAAGATGGGTGATCAATAAATTTTAGATGAAAGCTAGATAAATAGATGATAAATAGAGGTAGATAGATGATTAGGTATAGATAGATAGATAGATAGATAGATAGATAGATAGATAGATAGATGATAGAGATGATATAGGTGGGTGGATGGATGGATAGATAGATGTAGATGATAGAGATGAGATAGATGATAGATGGAGGTAGATGATAGAGATGAGTTAGATGAAAGATAGATGATACAGAGGTAGATAGATGAGATAGATAGATATGAGATAGATAGATGTTGATAGAGATGAGATAGATGAGATAGATAGATGATACATAGAGGTAGATGATAGAGATGAGATAGATATAGAGGTAGATGATAGATGAGATAGATAGAAGAAAGATAGATGATACAGAGGTAAATAGATGATAGAGATGATATAGATGGATGGATGGATGGATGGCTAGATAGATGTAGATAGATAATAGAAATGAGATAGATAGATAGAGAGATAGCTAGATGATACATAGGGGTAGATGATAGAGATGAGATAGATAGATGATAGATAGATAGATAGATAGATAGATAGATAGATAGAT